CTTTGGTTTTCCTCCTGGTGTCCTAACAGAAATTTAGCTGCAAGTACACTTTCCGTTTCCAATTGGGTGTCTGCACTGCTGAGTCTCCCCAGCCCCCACCCCCATTCCCATGACTCATTTGCTTCGGAAAGGTCTGACTCCTCTGCCCGCTCACTTCCTATGATTCCTGGATTAGTAGAAGGTTCATTGTTTCTCCTCCTAACCTGAGTTTCAGGAAAATCATCTAAAACATGTCTGATTGGACACAAGAGATATTCTTTGTAATCTATTAGTAATAGACAAGGAGTCTTCAAAATTTGGTGGAAAATGCTGAAAAACAATGGATTTTGAAATTTTTTTACAGAAATTTACCTTGTATTTCCATGTTTCCGTGTATTTTTGACTCATCCCTGTCAATAGGAACAAGTTTAACTGTACACAAACATCTGCAATAGTGGGACAAACAGATGCTTGCCAGATAGTTGGCCTTTACTCTAAAGCATATTTTAACAAATGCAAATAGGAAGGTTGGGTGACAGCAGGATAATAAACAGTGAATCGCTGAATTTGCTATGACTTGACTATATAAAAATAATATTTGGTTGGTTCTTCATAGTTTATTAACCATTTTTCTTTGTTTTCCCATAACACTGAATTTAAAAATGAAGATGTTAAAAAAAAAAAAATGAAGATGTTGTGAAGTCAAAATCTGAGGCTGGATATTTAGGGCATTTGCTTAGCGAGACATTCTTTTTGGTCAGTTATTCTTAGAAATATCTTAAAACACTTCGCTCCTATTGACTAATACTAATACTATGTAACTGAATTTAAGTTAATCTTGTTATGCAAAAAACAGGAAACCAAAACTGTGATGCACTGTAAGAACACTGTGGGGACCAGGACGACATGGGCCTACTGTATTTTCTTTTAGGGAAGCATATTCGTGTTGAAAATTTATTCATTTTAGAATGATATGTTCTTTCTATTTTAAAAAAGATTTGTTTATTTATTTGAAAGACTTACACAGAGAGAGGAAGAGACAGAGAGAGGTCTTCCATCTGCTGGTTCACTCCCCAGATGGCCATAATGTCTTGGGCCAGGCCGGAACCATGAGCCAGGAGCTTCTTCCAGGTCTCCCACAAGGGTGGCAGGGGCCCAGGCACTTGAGCCATCCTCTGCTGCTTTTCCCAGGTGCATTAGCAGGGAGCTGGGTCAGAAGTGGAGCAGCCAAGACACAAGGCTGCACCCATGGAAGATGCTGGTGCCAGGTGGCAGCTTTACACAATGCACCACAATGCTGGCCTCAAAACACAACATGTTCTAACCAATGACCCTCACTCTAGTGACCAAATTATAAGTTAGTAAAGTTTACTCACTTTGAAAATGGCCTCAAAACACAAAGTAGAGGGGCCAGCTCTGTGGCGAAGAGAGTAAAGCCGCCACCTGCAGTGCCAGCATCCCATATGGGCACCAGTTTAAGTCCCTGCTGCTCTACTTCCAATCCAGCTCTCTGCTATGGCCTAGGAAACAGTAGAAGATGGCCCATGTAGGAGATCCATGTGGGAGACCCAGAAGAAGATCCTGGCTCCTGGCTTCAGATTGGTGCAGGTCCAGCTATTACAGCCATCTGGAGAGTGAACCAGCGGATGGAAGACCTTTCTCGCTGCCTCTGCCTCTGCCTCTGCCTCTGCCTCTCTGTAACTCTCCCTTTCAAATAAACACATAAATATTTTTAAAAAATGCAAATAGAGTTATCTTTAAGTTGAACATCAAAATAGAATAGAAGACAAAATAAAATGTTTTCCAAATCCTTCTCCACAATATATCAGAAGACCAAGAAAAGTCTCAGAATTGAACAGGTAATATTTAATTAGTAATGTAAAAAATTGGTTCAGAAAACAGTAAGACCAAGGCCCTGTTTTAGTAATTAGGTGTAGAGATGAAGCAATAATAACAGTAGATAGAATTTACTGAGACCTTGTTATGTGTGATATAAATGCCTGCAATCAGAGACAAATTGGCCGCTTGCAGATTCTGAATAACAGAATAGTAGATGTTTTATTTGGTTGTCAGTTAAAAACAATTTCAGTTGACATTTAAAAAAAAACAGAATATTTCAGATTTTATTCAAATTTGGATGTTTGCCTTCTCTCTCAGAAGATCTGGAAACACCAGGTCCATGTTCTGCCATGGCACACATGAGATGCATCTAAAGAGTGAGCAGTTCCGCAGTTTCCTGTCAAACACCTGCTCTGACTCCAGCATCCGCTGCTCCTTGGCCCCGCAAGCTTTTGTGTGTGCAGCTCTCATGGCAGATCTTTTAGCATAGAGAATTTATCAAGACCAGAGACTGAATTAGTTTTTGTCTAACGTTGATGCCAATTCTGTATAATGGTTCAACAAAAATAGAATCCTAAAGGCTTTGAAGTTCTTGGAAATGACAGGATAAAAGTAAAATAAAATTTTGAGCAGGCAAAGATCCTCTCATACTGCTGATTTCAATTTTGATGACCTTGACCAGTATTGTTTGGCAAAGCCTAAAGTGCTTTATACTCTTTAATAGTGTCAATCAACACATATAAAGCCCTCCAAGTTTATTTCTAGAATTGTTTTCCTCCTGAAGGCTTCAGATAACTTAACTATCAGCCTTGAGGCCTCTGGGACAGCACATGACTCAGCTTCTAGTTGGGATTCTGGTTCAGTATACAACTAGAAGAATTAGAAGAGCTATTCTTTAATGCGGGCATTTTGCAAATGGAGTTTCCAAAGTGCTATCATATGAAAATGAATGTTATGAGAAAAAAATTTAAGCAGGAACTCCTGATTAAAGATACAAGTATTTAACTCTCTGGAAATTAAGATATGATTTAATTTTTCACATTAATACATGTGGAATTATTTTGAAAAGTGTCCTATAGACTTTTTTTTAATGTATTTTTTTTGACAGGCAGAGTGGACAGTGAGAGAGAGAGACAGAGAGAAAGGTCTTCCTTTTTGCCGTTAGTTCACCCTCCAATGGCCGCCACAGCCGGCGCACAGCGCTGATCCAATGGTAGGAGCCAGGTGCTTCTCCTGGTCTCCCATGGGGTGCAGGGCCCAAGCACCTGGGCCATCCTCCACTGCACTCCCTGGCCACAGCAGAGGGCTGGCCTGGAAGAGGGGCAACCGGGACAGAATCCGGCGCCCCGACCGGGACTAGAACCCGGTGTGCTGGCGCCGCTAGGTGGAGGATTAGCCTAGTGAGCTGTGGCACCGGCCCCCTATAGACTTTTAAATTAATAAAGTTTCCTATCTTTGAGGTTCTGTCTCTGAATGTTTGAAATCTGCACTTTGTTTTGCATTATTTCTAATTGTTATATTGTAAAACTGAATTTTCCTGAAATCCCCCATTTCGTTCTTTGGAGAAGAACTTCAGTCTGGTGATTAAAGAATAATGAAGTCTGAACCATCATATAACAGAATGTTTGAATTTCTCCCAAAACACAATGTTCATCAGTCAGTAAGAGAATCTAAGTTCACAAAGACATATTCATAAGTGTTTTTTTATTCTATGTTTTTAAACTTTCATCCATGCATACATACATGTTTATTAAATAAGATTGATGCGAAGTAGTGCCCGGAAACTATGGCTAAAGACAATCTAAACCATGCTAATGAAAGCTGACTGGAATACTATGTCTAGAGTCATAGCTACGTACAATACTTACCTGAGAAATAACCGTCCCTAGATGTTAGTCACAGTGGCTCTCTAACATTGTCAAGTTTGGTATCATAGATGGAATGGGAGTATAGGAGATCAGAGGGCTAAACTCTGACTGGTTCTGCACACACACTAGCCATGTTTCTCAGCATCTCACTTTCCTCTCTATATCATAAAGGCTGTTGGACTAGGTGTCCAGGGAGGCCTCCCAACTAGGAAAGTCTGTAGGATTTTGTTTCCAGTCTATGTTCTGAATAGTTGACCATCTGGTTCATGTGAGCAACCTCCGAATACTTTGATTCTTGTGCCTCTGGTTAATCCATGGACTAGCCCCTATCCTGGAAGTGAAACACCAGGCAACATCTCTTTCTCTACTCTTACCTTACCTACTCCTGTTAGAGTGGAAAAATCCTAAAGAGGATTGTTGGGGCAAACTGAGAGCAACTCTCAACTAGATTGGAGGGTTAGAAGAAAGATGTTGTTGACAGAGTCTTCAACATGTTTGTGGAAAATGTGTACTATGAAAAAACTTTGCACAAGTTTCAAATTTTTTGCACTAAAATAAACCTACTTTAAATTCCATTTCCCACGAACTTCTTGAAGTGCCATCCTATGCCTGCTTGTGGGGTTTACTAAACCTCACATGGTCCCCCAGCATTCACTGGTATTTGACTGTTTTCATCACCCCCATCTGTGTTTGTCAGGAGCTTCCCCTCACTCCCATCACATTCCTGCCCAAATCACCAGGCCAAGAAGAGATAATTATTTTTTAAAGTCCTCAGAAGCATATGTTTCATAGAATGCTAAAGAGAAAAGCCAGGCAAGGAAAGGGCTCTCTAATCTGAGTTTTTTTTTTTTTTTTTTTTGAGGCTCCCTTTGGGCCCTCTTGATATGGGTGGGAAATGCATTATGTCAATGATGTTTATTAACACCCTATTTTGTAGAGAAGCAGTTTGCCTTGTACCAACTATTCTCCAAGTTCCCTCCCCAGGGATTCTGGAGAAAAACCCTTTATGGCACAATGTTAAAAGCAATCTTGTACATTTTTGCCTTGTTCTTAGGTACACATATCTTGAACTTATATGGCTGTTAGCAAAGTTGCTTTTCAGGATGGGTAATCTCTCTTGAAGGCTCTCCAAAGCCTCCTGTCAACTAAATAAGCCTTAAACACCGCGCTTGCTTGCCTGTCTTCCGCTAGCCTGATTACTTGGACTGAGTGTTTGGTTGGCTGTTTATGAAGTCTTCTGTTACCCAAGCCTGTTGACTGATCCATCATTCTCTGACTAGGTGTTTGTTCTCTCTTCCTTTTTGCTGATCACAGAGGCGCAGCCCGGTAAGAACTCTCAACATTTTTACCTTAAACATGTATAGAGAAAATTGCTGCCGAGGCAAGGTGGCCAGGTTGGTTTCCCATTCCATTTTTGATAACCCAGTGTGAATGAAAGAGATGAATTAGGCTTATGAGTTGGAAGCCTCTGGCCTTCTAAGTGTCAAGAGCACATTTTAAAGTTATCAGAGCACTTTTCCATAACAAGCTAAATTGATGCATGGAAATGTATTTGAAAAACCTGTCTCTGTGTGTTTGTGTGTACATATATACATTCAAGAAAGGCTTGGAGATTGGTCAGACGGCAACAAAGATATTGATAGCCAAGTGATGATTAAGAGTAAAAAATTATAAAGGAAAGTATATTCAAGCCACATTTTTTAAGCCTGAGTTTGAAATATGTCCCTGGACCATAAACGTTGGTCAGTGAACAATGATACACAGTTGCTTATGTAAGGAGACATACTTTCAAATCAATACTCCTAAGCTGTCACCTAATTCTAAATTTTCTCACTGAAAACAAACTTTAGCAGAGTAGAGCAATATTAGTTTGCATAGTTCCAAGTGAAATCTCAGTCATTTTCTTCAGATTGAAGCATATAAATCATTCAAAATCACAAAAACCAGGGTCTTTGCTATGTTGAAGATGAGTACCATCTTCATGGCTCAGATCCTTTCGAAAGGAAACGGGCTGCAAACAGGCCTGGGCCAATCTGATTCATCATACTGTTTGAGGGAAATACCCTGCACCAGGTGATGAGTTGGTAGCTCAGATAAACTGCTTGGCTGAGGTTTAGAGATGGTGTCTGCAGGGGCTCCTATTCAGGTGTGAGGATTCCAACTCAGCTCTTAGGTGGCAACTCAACTTCCGACAAGTTACTCCAAAGTAAAACGTGGCATGAAGTGGACCTATTCATTCAAAAGAATAAATATCACTCATAATATAAAATCTACTCATAATGTATATAGAACAGCATACAATCATTGAAAGGAGGAAAATAAGTTCACTCAGTGAAGGGAAGAAATCTTTTAATTTAGTGGGGGTTTTTTTCCTGCATGTGGTCTGTGTGGCTGATAGCGCCTTAACCTTGTTCTAGATTTGTCATGCTACATTATTAAGGCCATCACAAACCATGGACTGGAGCCAGCTTGCAGTCAGAGTTTTTTTTTTTTCTGTTACCAATCATTCAAATATCTGTTCCTTTCTAAAAATGGTGTTAGTTTTATTCCTCCTAATTAAGCAGCAGACTTTTCTTGCATATTTTTTCCATTTCTTGCTTGCACTTAGCTTGTGATCATTCATTGAAGAGGAAGGAGTATTTAATAAAAATGTAACAGGACTTCCTTAGTGCCTTTCAAAAATAAACATGTGTTAAGTACAACTGACACAACTTGGGAATTGATAACCACAAATAAGCTTTGTACCTTTCTGGTTTCATAGAAATTACACTTTTAAATGAAACAATAGAGCAGAGAGGCCAGTGGTCTTCAATACAGCCTGTGGGATCTCCCAACAGCTAGACTGCAGGTCTCACAATATCGAGTGGGCCTTGTCCCCTCAATGCCAACTTATGATTGACTAAAGTCCCCGTATCTCCTCCTTTAGACTTCATTCATAAAATTCTGTCTGGAAGTCCATATCCCAAAGAAAATTTAACTTCATTTAAACAATTTCTTCTTGAATTATTTCTGACTAAGGGGCCTTGTTTTCCCAAAAAGAACCTGGATCCAAACTCCCATTATGGCCATGGTAGATTTAAATTCCCCATTTGTTAGAGTACTTACTAGTACTGTAATGGTCCTCTATGTGGCAGACGGGGTAGGGAGAAACAGATTGCATTATTAGGCAAAAGAAACCAGGCAATATAGCTTGAGAGATTGAGCCATCCACCTGCAAACCTCTAAAGGATCGTAGTTCAAATTGAAATTACTTGCCCATGGTAAATGGGTTCAAAATGCAACAGAAAATTCTGATATATTCTTAGGAAAGAGGAAATGAAACTTCTTACAAGTCTTACTGGGATGATAGACTTTGTCCTAATTGTTAGTGTTGCCCTCTGAGAAAAGAAAACATATGGATGAATGCCAAAGTTACAAAGCAGGAGGAAATGTGAGTTTGGTGGCCACCCACCAAATTCATTCATGCTCTTACCTTTTGGGAGATATTTGCTTATACTTCACTTTCCCTACCTCAAGTCTGCCTCTGCAGTTACTGTGCGCAGGCAGTGCCCTGAACTGCCCCACCCTAGATACAACCCATCTACTGCTCTACTTGTTTCATGCTAAGAACTTTTCACTACTTTTGGCTTTGAATTAAAAGTTTTTATCTAATCAGTACAAATTAATGATCAGACAAGATAAATACCTAGATGTGACTTGCCCAGATTGTTCCTGCCAGAGCTGTTTGAATTCCCATAGTATCACACTGCCTTGAGCTAAAGAAATGACTCCCCATTGGTGACTGGTGGCCTGGTGGCAGGCAAGTAGAAGAAACCAGAGAGGAGGCTTCATGGGTAGAATGGCTTCCTGAATACAGCAGTCCAGTCAATGGCAGATGCTTCAAGTTTCCCTTTCCTCGAATACCTGTCACTCAATGTCCTTTAAATTCACATGAGTGAACTGACAGCTCTACTGCCGCTGTGGGGACCCCACTTGACTAGGGACATACAGTACACCTGGAAATGATCTATGATTGTCAGACAGCAAGTGTATGTTCAACTTGGATTCACTTTCTTATCTGCCAGAGTTCTAGAAAGTTTTCTTTTTAATGAGCTACTTAATATCGGCTTTTAATTTACCAAATCTCCCCAGGTAAGGAGTTTTTCTCTTCAAGAGACATGATTTACCCTCCTTTGCCCTCTATAGTCTTTGAGTAAAATGAAAAACTGATTTGTGTGTGTGTGTGTATGTCTGTAATTTCCAACATAAATGTGGTTCTCAGAAAAAAAATGCATTTTCGCATCTGCATTTTTTTCAGTTTATTACAATAACAGAAATAATACATATTGTACATAACGTATATGTGGTCTTAAGCCTTATAGTGTCTATTTCTAATTCTAGGGTGCAATTAAAAGGAACTTATCCAGTAAGTATATCTTAGCTACCAGAAATAGAGTGCAATTTAAAAGAAGGAATGGTTCCTTGGATCTTGAAACTTACATACATCTGAATTATACACTCTTGGAATTTATTTTTAAGGTTTACTCTCTTTTTTAATTTTTATAGCAACAAATTATTGTAACAATAGTCTATGTGGGTTCTGAATGCTTAATATTTAAATTTTGAAAATGAACGTGGTTTTGGGAAAACATTGGGTTTTTTCTATATTTGTCCAATCATGCTGTATCATTTCACTTAAGAAATGGATTTAATCAAGTGTGCATTTGTTGAAGGGGGAAAGGAGAGGAAGAAGGCAGGAGGAACTGAAAGCAGACACAATTCATGTATTCTTATATTATTTGACATTAAAATTTTAGCCAGCCAAAATGATATGATATAGGTTATAATATACATAAAACATGATTTTTCCTTTACCGCGTACAACACATTCTAGGAATTATAAATTCATGGTTCATAGTTGAAGATGTAACATTTTCTTGGCATTTCAAGAAAAGAGCAGGCAGAGAATGCTGGATTCATGTACTATGTACATATGGCCTGGCTTAGTATTCTCTTATGGTAATTGAGAAGCAGAACTGATCAAGGCAGCAGACACTGGAAGAAGGGTGTGCTATTTCACTAAGCTCCACAGTACGCAAAGCTACTTGATGGCTTATCATGGAAGTTCCTTGGTTAATGAGGCTCTACAAACACCAGAGAAAACGCCTTTACATATGCCTGAAATATGGCTGTTGCATTGCCAAAAGAAATGATGTGTTTTACCAAGTTTTCTTTTTGATTTGCTTATTGATGAGACTTAAACTTCTAAATGTTTTCAAACATAGTTCATAAGACATATCAGAAAGGAATGGTAAAAATATGGCCTAAAAATCTTTTTGTCTTGTGCATCAGGTGAAGAAGTGGCAAGGCCTAGGCGTTCCACACCAACTCCAGAACTTGTAAGGTGAGAATGAAAGCCACTAATTGTGTTTAAAGGCAAAGCGTGGTGAACTTTTAATAATTAAGCAAATCTCTTTTGGGCTAAACTCTAGGCTTCCACTTTTTAAAAAGATTTTTATGTATATACTAATTTATTTATTGAAAGGCACAGTGATGGGTTGGGGGTGGATTCTTCCATCCTCTGGTTCATTCCCTAAATAGCCACAATAGCAGGTCTGGGCCAAGTCAAAACCAGGAGCCAAAAATTCCATCTGGATCTCCCATGTGGGTGGCAAGGGCCCTTGAGCCATCTTTTCTTGCTTTCCCAGGAGCATTAGCAGAGATCTGAAGCCGAGCAGCTGGGTCTTGAACAGGTGTTCTGATAAGAGATGCTGGCACTGCAAGTGGTTGTTTAATCCACTGCACACCACAATGTCAGAATCTCTAGGCTTCTGTCTAAAAAGGGGCTACCTACACATATAAGTCCATATATCCATAGTGTGGTCCAAAGGGTATCAGTTATCATAAATGCAGCCCAAGGGAGACCCTGAGGAAAGTTCTCTGCACTTACCTGAAGTAACTGTCCATCAGAAAACGTGGTCACCTTACTAACAAGAAGGCAAAAGGTCTGTAGCGAGATCTTTCAGTGTCTGGAAAGCTGACCTGAACTACAGTTAGAAAGCCCTATGAAGGGAAGCCTTCATTCAGTACAATTTTATGATTCATTCCACTTACCACACAACAAAAGACACTTCTATTTTTTTGTTTGTTTGCTTGTTTGTTTTTGGCAAAGCATTGTATTTTGCAATGTATTTTTATGGTTATGTGTTTTCAAATGGGCATTCTCTTTCAAAAAGATTGATTATTTCCACTTAAAAGTTGGATTTAAATCTTCCACCCTCACACTCCTGATCACATACACAGAACTCATTAGGATAAATCAGGAAATCAGAAGTGGATATGATTATACAGTCTTCTCTTAATTGGTCTAGAGTCATTATGATTAAGACAAAGCATGAGAGTTAAATTGATTATTCTCCTGTTACCCTGATTTCTCAATATTCTTCTCTCTCTCAGATGTACTGTGTGGGAATATGAGGAGGTCGTATCTGGTTTATTGGGTAGAAGGGAAATGGATGGAATATGTAGCTGGGAGACTCTGTTTTCTTTCAAATACAAACTTCCTGTATGTTTTATCACTTAATGTGCCTGTGCTGGACTTCCACTAATCATAAATTGCATTAATGATCAAATAGATGTGGTAACGACAAATTAAATGTTTTTGAGATCTTAGAGATCTTAGGGAACAAAGATGCCTTACAATAAGCTTTTATCTCTAGTGTTCTCTCTTCTAGGTATGAGAACGGTGATGCTTTGAAAGAGTTTTTTTCTTTCAGTTTATTCCTGTTGGACAGGAGTCAGTAATCCTTTGAGAACAAGGGATCTTATCTCCTACCAATTGTCTTGTCCCATGATATATTGGACATCATTATATAATACTTTCTAAGCCTACATGGGCTGGGTACACACATACATACGTGATACATACACGAGTGGGTGCATGCACACACACACACACACACACACACTTGCTTTACAGAAAAAAATGCTCGAAAACTCGTTTATCTTCTTGAGTATTCATCTGTGAACCCTTTCTCTCTATTTGTCTCTATCATGTGTGCTACAGCAAAAAGCCTCCAGACGACACCACAGCTCTTGCTCCCCTCTTTGGCCCACCATTAGAATCAGCTTTTGATGAACAGAAGACAGAAGGTAAGAAAAATCCTATGTAACTGCAGATTTGTTTTGCTTTTTGTTGAAATATAACTTTCCTAGAGCAAATGTATATATCTTATGGGATTATTTGTCATCTATCATCGTATCCTCATGGGAAAGGAAAGTTCTGATCTTAAGTGTGCTGTCAACAACAGGAGATTGGATTGCAAACCTCTATGTTTTTTGGATTTGAAATTTACTTCCAGAAATATCTAGGAGCTATAAAGTTTACTCCTTAAAAGAGGTCAGTAAGAATTATGGCAAATATGCATACATCCCATCAGTGACTAAATTCTCCATGCGCCAAGCAGCCATCATTTGAGGTGTTAATAAGAGCACAAATGGAGCCAGACCTTCCTACATCCATCACAGTCACTGTCATTGTGAGTTAGCCTCTCTGACCGCATTTGCTGTCATTTGCACCTCATCAATGGAAGTGTCCATTGGATTGCTCCCAACAGGCATTGCTTGCTAGCTCAAGACCTAGGAATGACCTTCAATCATTTAGCAACCGAGAATAAAATTTTGCAGGAGAAATACCTTCCTTTCTGCTATTGTTGTTAACTTTACCTATTAAATATTTATACCTAGAAGTAAATTTTTAACCTTTAAAAAATTAAGTATGTTTTGAGCGAATTTAAATCATGCATACTTTGCTGATATAAAATAAACTCTCTATAAAAGATATCAGAGTCACTCTAAAACATGTTTATGTCCAATTCTTGTATCTCCAGTTCTGCGTTCAGTAATATAGAATATTTTTATGAAAATTCTTGGACTTAAAAGAACTATGGCATATCCGTAATAAAATGCCATCTTTTAAGAGCCCATTTGTGAAGTATCCTGAAGTATTAAGATTTGGAAGCATAATGAGCAGGCTAAGTTACAATGACAAAGAGACCTCAAAGTATAGTGAATTAAGCGAGATGGAATTTTGTTACTGTTTCATGTTAATAATGTAGGACTGGTAAAATAGCTCATATGCTTATCCTCAGCATGTTGTCTTTTTCTGTATGTCCAAGGAGACTGCTCCTGTCATCATCTCCCGGTCATAAGAAAGATGATGCAGAGTAGGCCAGTGGAGCGCATTGCCATTTCTTCTAAGAATAAAATCTGGAAGAGACACACATCACTTCCAGCCAAAGCCCACTGGACTGAAGTTCGTGCCACATGGCCAGCTAAAACTCTTACTATAAGAAAAACAAACAGATTCTGAGAGTTATCTAACAGTCAACAATGCCTCAATATTTTCAAGGATTTAGCTAGGAAAATGAAAAAGAAAATCCTTAAATATTCCTGCGGTGACTTAGATGTCTATAACTTAGACTCCCTATGGTGTGATGGTTTTTTAACTGATTTCAACCCTGAAGTTCTGCAAAGTTCCAGCATTTGCACCAATCATACTAACTTTTTCAACACCCACACTTCTCTTTTTATCTACCCACTCTTACTTCTTTTGACTGATTTTTTTATCACTGCTTTAAAAGTCTCACAGGAAAAAAAAAATATGTATTTTTGAGTCAGGAATGTCTGGGTCAGGTCTTAGCTCCTCTACTTTTACCTTGAACCAGTAATTGAACCACTCCAAGTCTTGGTCCTTCTCCCAAAAGTGATACTGACATCAACCACAGGATGGTGGTATGAGAATTAGATAATAACAGGAACTGTCTATGTGATAAGTGATTTATATACATTTTTTTTTGACAGGCAGAGTAGACAGTGAGAGAGAGAGAGACAGAGAGAAAGGTCTTCCTTTGCCGTTGGTTCACCCTCCAATGGCCGCCACGGCTGGTGTGCTGCAGCCGGCGCACCGCGCTGATCTGAAGGCAGGAGCCAGGTACTTCTCCTGGTCTCCCATGGGGTGCAGGGCCCAAGCACTTGGGCCATCCTCCACTGCCCTCCAAGGCCACAGCAGAGAGCTGGCCTGGAAGAGGGGCAACCAGGAAAGAATCTGGCGCCCTGACCGGGACTAGAACCCGGTGTGCCAGCGCCGCTAGGTGGAGGATTAGCCTATTGAGCCGCGGTGCCGGCCGATTTATATACATTTTATATGCACTATGTTTATATACATTACTACCTTTAATCCTTTAATAACGCTCTGATGTTGCTCTTATCTCCATGTTACACTGAAGGAAGAAAGCTCAGATGCACTGACTTGTCCAAGACCCTTCAGCAAGTGTAGAGGCTAGATTCAGAGCCATTTCCACCTGGCTTCCCAGCCTGTGCAGCACAACAGGAGGAATTAAGCCGTACCTGCCTAGTCCCTGGCAAGTGACAGGTACTGAGGAGAGCTAGCTGTTGACAGTGCTACCACAGGAGTTTTTAAGACAAAAATAAAGAAAGCAAGAGAAGAAATGCTCAATGCGGTGTGCTTCGGCGCAATACCTAACTGCTCTGATCTATTTTAGACGTCTAAGCACTTGTTCCTTTTTTTTTTTTTTTTTGTTCTCTTAGAATAGTCACCAAGCATTTTTTAAAATAATTTATCTTTATGATACTATAAAGGGTTTATGTAAAGTCCCTGTAAAATCCTTGAAGGATAGAAAATACTACATGGAACCCATGCATCTTCAGTTTTGAAGCATATTCTTAGTAGGCTTTAAATAAACCAACTTACAACAAAACAAGTGTCTGTGGGATTAATGCCTGAATTTTCAAATGGGTGCCAGAAATGGAGTCCGTCCATGTACTGAAATTCAGAGTGTCCTTAAGTGACCAACTGGGAAGAAAGTACAGAATCTATTTTGAAAAACTTTTATTTAGCTACTTGTACACACATAGACACCTCTTCCGCCCCCCACACAGCTACCCCTGCTTCTATTCTCTACTTGAAAAGAATGAGGAGCGGCTCATTCCCAAAATAATTCTCCAGGACTGAGGCGAAGGGGAAATAATTTTGTGAAGCTCAACTCTTTAAAATCAGATTGTTAACTTTTTCAGTCTCTTTTGAACTCATGCTGGGATATTTTCTTTTTATGTTTCCAGTTCTTTTAGATCAGCCTGAGATATGGGGTGCAGGCCAACCAATTAATCCAAGCTTGGAGTCGCCAAAGTTAACAAGGCCTTTTCCCACTGGAAGTAAGTTATGTATTTGCTCTGTCTGGAAAAATAAGTGACTCATTTTGCTGTCTGTATAGTGAAATTAGGCAAGTCTAGAAAATCTACGTAAGCAACATTTGGGCTATGTAATATTAAGAAGCAATATTGTTATTTTAATGTGTTCAAGGCTATCAAGGCAAAAAATAAAATAAAAATAAAGTAACGTTATTAACCTTGAATTATAACCTTTTCTGACATCCCACATGCTCATTTATTCATTCAATATATATGTCAGTGGGAAAAGCAAGTGAGCTAAAGAAACTACCAACTCCCAGCACATAGGTGAACAAGTCAGATATGGTCTCTGCTAGTCTTAGAGAGCAACCGAGGACTGCCTAGGACAGAAAGGACAGATTAAAAGATTGACAACTGGAGAGCCACAGAAATGAGACTATGCAAAAAGAGAGACTGAGTTGGGTGAATTTATGACTAAGCAGCCATCAGCAGGCCTTATTGTCCTGCATGCCCCTTCACCACCAACACTACCATCTCCGGGTGACTGGAAAGAAAATCCCAATGGTCTTCATAGCACTGACCTGTGGTGAGTTGCACGGTTTGCACTGAATGGATGCTTATTTGGTCAGACTACCTGCTTGATGGATTCCATGAATTCTCCTTTCAGTAGCTGCCCATGGCAAGCAGGCGTATGGAAGATACTCTTCAGAACACCTCTGAGGGGCTGGCTCACTTGGCTAATCCTCCGCCTGCAGCACCAGCATCCCTTATGGGTGCTGGTTCTAGTCCTGGTTGCTCCTCTTCTAGTCCAGCTCTCTGCTGTGGCCCAGGAGTGCAGTGGAGGGTGGCCCAAGTGCTTGGGCCCCTGCACCCCCATGGGAAACCAGGAGGAAGCACCTGGATCCTGGCTTCGGATCGGCACAGTGTTGGCCATAGCAGCCATTTGGGGGGTGAACCAACGGAAGGAAGACCTTTCTCTCTGTCTCTCTCTCTCTCTCACTGTCTATAACTCTACCTGTCAAAAAAAAAAAAAAAAAAAAGAATACTTCTGAGAGGATTGGATCTCAGAGACAGATGTTTGGGAAGAGGCAAGGTACTTTGAGGGTCACATACACACCAACTAATATTTTTCCAGTTCAACATCCCCCAGAACTCTGTGTTTGGTGCCTAAAAATAATCATAGGGATTACTCAAAGGGACTCATAATCAAAGGCCAAGAAGTTATTTGTTGCAGATATTATGGTCGTAAGTCATGTGACCCAGCATTTCCAAGGTTATTTCTCCCAGTAACAAGAAAAATGGCATCAACTTTTTCTAAACTTTGAAACTTTGAAAGATGTGTATGTTGAAAGGATTTGAATCACAGTGCAAGGAGTATAAAGGTTTCTTCTTGCTCCTGGAAGCAAATGCAGTTAAAAAAAAAAAAAAAAAGAAACAAACAACTCTAACATCCCTGAAAAGCTTTCCTGACATATCAGAATTATCCAAATTATTCCTAGAAAACCCATCTTAAATTCCAAGAAAGTAAGCAAGTGACACATTTATGTAGATGATTTATTGTTTTTAGATCCAACTATTGGTAGGCATTTCAGAATTTTGAGTTTTATGAGCTGTAGTTACCCAACGGAGGCTATTGTTGAATTGGCTTGCATGTTTTATATATATATATATATGTTCATTTGGTAGTTGCAGTGTAAATTTGCTGTTTTATATTATTGGGCTTTTATGGTACTTTATTTGTATATTATGATATTTTCTTATGATCTTGATTAATTTTTGGGCAAAGACCCTGATTAATTCTTAACCTCTGTGGGAAAATAGATCCACTTAAGGTGTAGTTTTCACAAGTTGATAACTAAGATTAAGAATCACATATTCCAAGCCGGCGCCGGCACCCCGGGTTCTAGTCCTGGTGGGGGCGCCAGATTCTGTCCCGGTTGCCTCTCTTCCAGGCCAGCTCTCTGCTGTGGCCAGGGACTGCAGTGGAGGATGGCCCAAGTGCTTGGGCCCTGCACCCCATGGGAGACCAGGATAAGTACCTGGCTCCTGCCATCGGATCAGCGCAGTGCGCCGGCCGCAGCGCGCCGACCGCGGCGGCCATTGGAGGGTGAACCAACGGCAAAGGAAGACCTTTCTCTCTGTCTCTCTCTCTCACTATCCACTCTGCCTGTAAAAAAAAAAAAAAAAAAAAGAAGAAGAAGAAGAAGAAGAAAGAAGAAAAATCAGTACTTATTGAAACAGTAATTCCTAACCTTGCTCACAAAGTGAAAAGCCCAGTGAGAATGGTCAGTCTCTTCAGAGGATCATAATACTCCACTTTTTCTGTCTCAGGATTTTGTTTGGCTGTAATTTTTACCAAAGGAATCCATTCATTCATCCTTGACTCAAGTCGCTTGCTTTCAACTTTCAAAAATACACTTAAGTTAAAAAAATATTGTAACTTTAGGGACTGGCGTTGTGGTGTTGTGGCATAGCAGGTAAAGAGCCCACCTTTGATGCTAGCATCCATTATAGGCACTGGTTTGTGTCCCGGCTGCTCCATTTCTGGTCCAGCTCCCTGCTGATGGCCTAAGAAAAACAGCAGATGACGGCCCAAGTTCATGGGCCCCTGCCACCCTGGGAGACCTGAATGGAGTTCCCAGCTCCTGACTTTGGCCTGGTCCAGCTCTTGTCATTGCACCCATTTCAGGAGTGACCGAGCAGATGGAATATGTCTCTCTGCCTCTCCCTGTCTCTGTAAAACTCACTTATCAAGTGAATAAAAAACTTAAATATATAGATAGATATTAGATATGAATTTGAAGAAATCTTTCCAGACTTATTCAAGGCAATAATACCTTGAGTGCATTAAAAAAATACCCTCACGTGAACCCCATTGACCTTTTATCATTTCCAGTATCATCTCTGGAATTGTAACTGTTAATATGATATTCATTCAGTCACTCATAAACTCCTTGCTGACACCAGGTTAAATAAATAAAACATTTATTTATATATTTATTTATTTGAAAAGCAAGGAGACCTACAGATAGCAGGAAAGTTCCCATTTGTTGGTTCACTCCCCAGATACCAACAACAGCAGGGCTGGACTTGACTGAAGCCAGAAGCTGGAACTCAGTTTAGGTTTCCTGTATCACAGGCCAGACAGGGACCCAAGTGTTTGAGCCATCACCTGCTGCCTCCTATGGTGTGCAGGAAACTAAACTCAGGAACTAAAACAGGGAATTTAACTCAGGTTCTCTGAGATGAAATGCCAGTGTCCCAACTAGCATCATAACCACTCAGTCAGATGCCCATCTCTAATTTTTACTCATCCCAGTGTCCCCAGTTCCTGATATAAAAGGTGGGATTTAGTTGTCACTTAGAGTTGGTCAAGTAATATCTTAAGGAATGAAATAGTTATACTACTGTTATTGTCCAGTATTCTCCAAACTCTCACTCTGATAAAACAGTAGAATCTGAACAAATCCTGCTTTAGTCCCTAGACTTTGAATTGAGAAAAAGTTTGGATAATCAACGGTTCTTCCACTGCCAACAGCAGGTCCCCGAATGAGAGCTAAGCTTACTCCCGCCTTTCTACAGTGTACTGTGTAAACTTAGGAAGAAATGCTCCATAATGCGTATCTCATCTCTCTGCAGCACCTCCACCTCTGCCTCCAAAAAATGTACCAGCCACCCCACCCCGAACAGGCTCCCCCTTAACAGTTGGACCAGGTAAGTCTGAGTGTTTTTTTCTGTTCATGTGACAAGCAGAGCAATGACCTCGAAACTCAATGTGCCCTCGATATGTTGGAAGCTGGAGGCTACACTAAAATGTTATGATATTGGTATTTAGTTTTATGGCCATTACAATTTATTGTGCAGATTTATTTTAAAGCAACACACCAAGGTTTTACAAAAAATAATCATAATCATAATTTCTCAATTAACTTTTTCTCAGTATAATTTTGTTGAATGAGGGCCCATTCACACAGGAAAAGTGAAAGAAAAAAATCTCACAATAAACCAACCATTGTTTACTTAATTTACCACTCATTTTGTTGGATCTCATTTCAATGACTCACAAATTAATAGTCTGAAGGTGTAATTTGTATTTTTATTTTTCCAATCACTAATAAAATTTTTCCTAGAACTAAAACTGTCTATAAAGACATAAAATGGTCTCAAGGATGTTGCTGGTGAATTTTTTTTTTTACTTTTTTTACCAGTAGTTATTCAACAAAGACATGTAAAAATTGTGAAACATGGCAAAGAATTGCTCATAGTTCACTTCTTTGCACATCTTTACCTTCTGTTAAAATCAATACTATGTATTTGTGAAATGCATAATCTGCCAAGACTTACTAGAGTAACAAATCAAAAGTGGGAAAGGTTGTTTTGTGGGTCTGGGACCTCGGAATGTGGTACTTTATCATCTCCGAGTCCCACTGCAGCTTCCTCCTTTGCTGTTTATACAGCCTGATGAGTTTGATGGGTAGAGAGAAGCGTATTTATCAACTCTAGCAAAAGCAAGACACAGTCATTGATGAGATTTGTATTGACTGTAACCCAGTACCGAGTCATCCAGAGTCTCATAAGTCAAGGTGTTTGCAAGTTGGAGGAAGCCATTTTGACCCCTTGTGTTCCTGTTAATTATGTTAGCTATCAATAAGCCTTCCAGTGACAACGTTATAAGAATTGTGGGCCTATTACAATTTATTGTAATGAGAAATGCTCCCCCATTTATCAAGAGGCTTCAAACCTTGAAAGTTAATTCCCATAGAACTGGAAATATGGAAATAGTTAGCCAGTTCTTTTACTCTAAGAATTATTGAAGGAAAAGTTGCTGCTGGTGTGCCATCCAGTCTCCCAGGTAACAATTTCTAATTTGAATAACCTCACTTTAAAAAATATTACAGTTTCTTGTATTGCAGTTGTTGTCAAGTGCTTGACACAAGCACTAAAAGGTAGTTTTTTTAACTTGTTTCTCTTATTGTCTTTATTTTAACTTGTTTCTCTTATTGTCTTTATAATTTAAAAAGAATAACTGTTGTTAATGCTTAAGCAGTGCTGACTTCATGACTTCAGATAGATACATGCCACAGTTATGCCTATGATATTAATAGGTTAGACTTGATGAGAAAAGGAATTGTCGAGTTTTTTATGATTTTCTCTTCTAGCAAACACATATATAGGTAACAGTTCCAATAAGCACCAAGAGCCTTCTCAAGATCCTTTGTGTGTGTTCTGTGTTGGGTGTGTGTGTGTGCGTGTGTGTGTGTTTGTAAATATCTGTATGGGGATAGCTCTTGAAATAATCTTTGTACCATGTTTCTGCTATATTTAAGATACATGGCGTTCAGCTAAATATGGTGTGCTCTTTTGTTAAAGTAACAGATACTAGCTTTGACAATTATGCTCATTTGATATACTGGAGAAGGCGATGTTTATGAAATATGAGGGTGATTGCTGTGATCCACTCTTTTTATATGATGCTGTGTATTCAGTAGGTCAGATTCTCAGAAGCGCCCTGCCCTTTGGACTTTACATTTCCAGAGCCTTGTTTTTCTCTGGGAACCTAACGCTGCCTTCTCAAAATGACCACACTTTGTGCATTTGTGAGCAGCCTTTGCGAGCAGTACCACACTCAGCACTTTAAATGGTGGTCAAAGTAGCTCAGGTGTGATCACTTTGCAAAACAGTGACTCACGGCCATTAAAAAAAAAGCTAATGTTCACATTGTGGAGGTGGCAAACTCTCCCTTCACCTTCAACCCTAATCCAATAAAAACAGTTTCTGTCCTCAGATAAGCCCCCCTGAGGCACCTCATCTGGCTTTGCATCCCCCTTCCCCACCTCCCCCCACCTCAAATAATAGTAACAAGGTCAATTAAAGTTTAAAATCAACTACTTTAACCACAGGAAATGAGCAATCAGCCACAGAGGTCAAACTTGAAAAACTACCATCCATCAATGATTTGGACAGCATTTTTGGCCCAGTTTTGTCCCCCAAGTCCGTTGCTATCAATGCTGAAGAAAAGTGGGTCCATTTTTCCGACACGTCCCCGGAACATGTCACTCCAGACTTGACTCCAAGGGAAAAGGTGGTGTCCCCACCAGCTGCATCAGACAACCCAGCTGACTCCCCAACTCCAGGCCCTCCTGGCCCCCCGGGGCCCCCAGGCCCCCCAGGGCCACCTGGTCCTCCTCGCAATGTACCATCGCCGCTCAATTTAGAAGAAGTCCAGAAGAAAGTGGCTGAGCAGACCTTCATTAAAGACGATTACTTAGAAACAATCTCATCTCCTAAAGATTTTGGGTTGGGACAGAGAGCAACTCCACCTCCCCCACCGCCACCCACCTACAGAACTGTGGTTTCGTCCCCTGGACCTGGCTCGGGCAGTGGTACAGGGACCACCAGTGGTACGTCTTAATTGTTTGAGTGTGCTTCGTGTGCAGGGGAATGGCTGTGGCTGCTGCCTTGTGAGCGACACCCTCCTGCTGCCTGGCAACTGGCTTGAGCGCTTCAGCCATTCCTCCTTTGGTCTGGGTGTCCTGTGGCCCCGTAGCATGTCCTAGTCCATTGGTGCTCGCAGTCCTGGTCCAAGTCTGTGGATGTGTTCTGCCTTGCACTCCCAGTCCTTGGGAATGTCCTGCTTCCCACACTGCAGTTAGGAAGGAAAGTTAGAGAAAGACAGATTTCAAATAGCAATTTCAAATAGCAAATGAATTCTATGCTGAATGGCTAATTTCCTTGTTAGATACCTCCAGAAGTGTCCTAGATTTTGAAGATCAATAGAAGTAGGGAGTTGTTCCTATGGGTTTTCTAGGGAATAGCAAGGCAAAGGATGAGTTATTACATCCTCAACCTAATGAAGCCACCACTGAAGACAAAACTCACTCTCTGATCTCACCATTTGCCATGTTCATCATCGTAAGGTCAACTCTGAGTACACTGACGGGTGAATGGAAAAGGCTACCAAAAATATACTTTTGGGGACTCTGTGCAAATTGTGACATTTAATTTGGTTTTTTTGTTTGTTTGTTTGTTTGTTTTCCTATTTGAAGCTTCATTTTGTGTTTTCTAATTATGAAAAATGGGAACACTTGCCATGTGTACCAAAGAAATACTGAGTTTTTTCTAGTGCATCCCCTCTTATATCATGAATTTCACTGTTGCTCAAATTTGTCTGGCAAGATCCTCCAGTGCCTTCCCTTGTGCGCATGTGGGTTCAGTTCAGGCACCTTTTCAGGGCATTCCATGTGCTGTTTGTTTTTCATTTGCATTGAAAGAGGCAGCTAAATGGAAGATATTTAGATCTAGTAAGAGACAGAAAGGAAAGGCATTTGTCTTTATTCTAATATTCAGTCATCATTGCTGCCTCTTTCAATGGAGTGTCTTTCAGTGCTTGCCTTGTGTGTCTCTGTGCTTCCAAGTGAGAGCAGCAGGGGATTCCAGGAGAAGCCAGGGAGCCTCCTCTGCTATGTGCTATCTCAGTAGGTGTGTCTCCCTAGCCTTCCCACCCCCCAAAAAGGAAAACTGCTCAATACTCAAATAACTTTGGGAAACCACATTAGACAAAGCAAGTTCTTTGCCATGAAGCCCTTGGGAGCCTTTATTTTGCCAATAAAAGCAACAACTATAGTCTCTTGTCCTGGCCACTGTGCTAAGTGCTTTCTGCATGTTATTTCATCTCCACAGCAACTCCATGTTGTAGATTCTGTTGTTTTCCCTGTTTTACAAATAGGAAAACTGAGACTCAGAAATATCAAGGAATTTTCCCAATTTTATGCACAGAGGGTGACAGACTTGGGATTTCTACTCAGATCTGCTTGGTCTTCAACATATATTCTTAACTCCTAGGCTCTCCAGGCACTTCTATAAGGGTTGGTGACAAATTATTCCAAACTTAGTTGATTATTGACACCCACTTGTACTGCACAGTCATCCATATGATCATGAAACATCTGTTCTCTCTCTGAGCTCTATCTCTAAGTCTAGAGGGTTGGAGCACAGACCCCCATCCCTTTACTGGTTTCCAAGGTCTTGGGTGGAGGGTACAAGTCTCCTCCATCATCTGTAAAGATGTAGGGTGCTCCTCTGTGGAGCACTCAGATCATGAACCCAGAGAAGCCAGCTGTCTGTTTAGAAGGGCTGGGGTGGGGTCTCTTGGAAAGGGTTGGGGGTCTTTTGTAGAAGAAGGTGTATCTGTTGTTTCCTCTGGAGCTCTCTTCCCTGGGTCAGGCTGTCAGTCTTCTCAAATATTGTTTCAAGGAACACTGATGTTGCTTCAGTGGTGGGCCAGGATGCTGCCCTGAAAGTCAACACTTTTAGACTGGGGTGGGAAGACCGGGCAGCTTTGCTGACTTGTGTTTCTTTTACCACCCTTTGTAAGAGCTGAGGAATATTTCTCTAACTGAATGGATTACTTTTCTGACGAGAAGGTGAAGATCTTTGGTTTTCTCTCTTGAATCTTTGAGAGTTTTGTTGTTATCTTAATGTTTAGCTTCCATACCCTTACTTGAAATTATTTTAAAATGTTACCAGTAAAGGCTATTGATCCTTAATAATCAAGCTGGAAAAAGCTGTTCTTTTTGGTTTTAGCAGATTGGATTTCTCAGTGGAAGATTGAATCGGTCTGGTGAAGCCCATGAATAAATAAAACTGCACCCTTATCTCCTTAATTAAGTCCCAGTTTATTTGCTGCTTAATCTTTTATTGATGGAATGCATACAACCTGTCAGAACTGTAAATTTAGAATGGCAACAATGGAACATGACCTCATGTTTTAAAGATTAGCAATGCTTCTTACTATCTGATTTTTGTAACACGTACCCTGATGGGGTCATCTTCTCCTGAACATCTCAAAATACATTTAAGTGGGAACGGAATACTGTACCCTATACTCCTTAAACTATACTTACTATTATGCTCACTTTTTAAATTTCACCCACAATGAGGTGACTGTCACTGACCAAATATAGACAGTTGGAACAGCCTGTGAACTAAAAGAGTCACTTGAAGAAGCTGTAAGTTAAGAATGTGCTCCAAGAAGTTGAATTTCCTAATGGCAAAAAGTTACAATTGCCTAGTTTTCCCAGAACATTGCTTTATTGGCCTGGAGATGCTAATTCATGGCAAAAGTTAAATCTTCTCCCATGTGGGCTGTTTGCCAGGGGATAGGAGGGAAAACAAGCTTTATCAGCCTTAAGCAAGTTTGGAGACCAGAGAAAGAGAGGAGTTAGTAAAGACAGAATGCTCAGTGCAACATTTTCCAACATAGGAAACTAAAGCTGTATTAAAAGATATTTTCCACACATGCATGTGTGCACACATGCACACACACACACACACACACACACATGAGCTTAAGCTACCTGGGATGGAACTAGCCAAATATATTTCCTAATTACAAGTCTTTTAGAGCAGTGATGTCCAATGCAGGAAGCACTGGCTACATGTGGCTTTTTTAAATTTAATATATTAAATAAAAGGAAGCTACTGTACTGTTTTAAGACTTTTAATGTGCTAGTCACCAAAAGAAGAAACATAGTATATAACCATTCCCATACATATTGAATGCCTTTTTTAAAAGTATGGAATAAAAAACACAATTTGGAAAAGGTGGTTTAATTCTTCACATATCTCAAAGGACATATATTTGACTTGACTCTCTCAACAGCATAGTGAATTAGCCCTGTTTTGCAGAACAAGAAGCTTGGAGGTAACCTGTCCAAGGTCATAAAGCTAATAAGTAGCAGAATTAAGATCTGGCCCCAGATCTGTTGGAGTCCATGGCCTTTACCTGTAAAGGTACACCTCTGTAACTTCTCCCAGCTCTACTGTCTGTCCAACACACACACATAAAATAAAAACAAAGGGCCACTGTTGTAATGCAGTGGTTTAAGCGGCCTTGTGATGTAGGTATCACCTGTCAGAGTGCCAGTTTGATTTCCAGCTGCTTCGCTGCTGATCCATCTCCTTGCTAATGTGCCTATGAAGGCAGCAGAAATCAGAGGCCTGGAACTCTATTCTGGCCTCCCTGAGTGGCAGGGATCCCTGCACTTGGACCATCATCCTCTGCCTTCCCAGGCACATTAGCAGGAAGCTAAATCAGAAGCAGAGCAGCTGAGACTTGACCTAGTAATTGGGTATGGGATTCTACAGTCACAAGCTGTGGCTTAACCTTCTGTGACAAAAGCCTGGCCCCCAATACAGGGTTTTAATACAAACGTCCTCTTGCTTCTTACGTACTCTCTTAGTGTCTGTTAATGGAAATGATTAGAGTGCGTTTGGAAAATCAAAGTTGAAGTTTATCCAGGTAGTCAAACTAAAGACTGAAACCTGGAAATGACCTGTCAGTTGCCTGAATTGGCTGTTCTCAAGCCTGAGTTTGGTTACACATTTTATGCTATTCTTGTAGGGGAGATGCATGCATTGGGTAAGATTTCAACAATACAGATTTACGTGTAGTTATCAATTTCAGTGAGAATGACTTAGTACCCCACTGAAAATCAAAGAATAATGCACTGGAAAAAAATCAAATACTCCTGGCAGTAGCTAACAGACTTGATTATGAAGGAGATACATTACATTCCCACACTCATTCCCACACAGGATGTCGTCTACATGCGAGGAGAGGCAAACACTTGGGTCATGAATCACTCTTCTTACAGTGGCTTTAGGAGGAAAGCTCACTCCTTGATGAGGCACAGTAGACTTTGCCTTGCCCAGTGCTGAGGTTCCCTGAGAGGTCCTGTTCCTTGGGAACCAGCAGCAGGCCCTCTTCGAAGCAAGGAGCTCAGCTGATTTAGGCCTCTGCAGTCACCATTTAAGTCCAGGCTTTCTAACTGCACAATCAATCAACTATGTCAATTGATATATCAATCTGTATCAGTTGTTACAAAAATTTTGGAATCTGGCACCAGCGTTGTGGCACAGCAAGTTAAGCTGTTGCCTGCAACACCAGTATCCCATATGTTTGAGTCCTGGCTGCTCCACTTCTGTTCCAGCTCGCTGCTAATGTGCCTGGGAACGCAGTGGAAGATGGCCCAAGTACCTGGGCCCCTGCCATACATGTGGGAGATCTGGATGGACTTCCCAACTCCTGCTGTTGGCATGGCTCAGCCCTAACCATGGAGGCCATTTGGGAGTTGATCAGCAAGATTTACTCCTCTCTCTCTCTCTCCTCTCTCTTTCTGCAACACTGCCTTTCAAAAAATAAATAATACTTTAAAACAAAATTGAAATCAATGCATAGAGGGATCATCATAAAATTCATAGAAAATAGTATTATGAAAAAAACTGTGGGGATTTAAAAATTTTTTGCACCAAAATAAGCATAATTCCATTTTCCATGCATTTTTGAAGTAGCTTCATACAATTAACATTGTCAATCTACTGCACTGTACAATAGCAGGAGTTAGTCCTATTCAACTCTACCACTGTACACCTTAACCATCTTCTGTCCATCTCTCCTTCCTCCATGCCCTTCTCAGGTTCTGGTAATCACTATATACTCCCTGCTTCAATGAGTTCAGCTTTTTTTAGCTTGCACATATGAGTAATAACAAGAGGCACTTATTTGTCTTTCTTTAAAAAAAAGTTCATGTATTTGAAAGGCAGAGTGACAGGGGGCGGGCGAGGGGAGAGAGATCTTCCACCTGCTGGTTCATTCCCCCAAATAGCCACAACCACCAGGGCTGGGCCAGGCTGAAGCCAGAAGCCCAGAACTCCATGCTGGTCTCCATGTGGATGCAGGGACCAAAGAACATGGGTCATCTTCTGCTGCCGTCCCATGTGCTTTAGCAGGCAGCTGGATTGGAAGCAGAGCAACTGGGACTGGAACAGGAGCTTCAATAGGGGATGCCAGCATTGCAAGCAGTGACTTAACTTGCTGTGCCACACGCAGACCCCTGTACTTGTCTTTCTGTATCTGTCCTTCACTTAACATAAAGCCACACAGTGCTAGTAGATAGATACTTTTGGACCATTCCTATCACATGCTTGACTCTAAGCTAAATAGAAACATCCTTGTCCCCATCCCAAAGCCTTCTGGAACTTCCTGATAAAGACTTTGCTGTTTAAAGGCTTATTTTCCATGTCTATGCTGCTGCTTCTGTCTTCTGAAAAACATCATGCTTGTCAATCTACTAACATAACAATTTGAAGTGGACCCTGTCAAATCATACTGTTGCTTTTTTTTTCTTTTGAAGAGAAGATTAGCCTAAAACTAAGAACATTTATATTGGAAGAAATGTGTGCAAGCTGACTATGCAAAAATAAGGTTAAATTTTATGAAAATTGTGGGTCATGCAGTATGTTAAGCTACAAGAGATTGCATTTGAGTTGTATGGCCTGGGAAAAGTCAATGAGTATCTCTGAGCTTCAGTTTCCATTGAGATATTAACAGTCCCTACCTCTGAAGTTTATTGTGGGGATTAGATAATACACATAAAGTGCCTAGCATAGATCTTGACCCAAAACAATGGAAAGAACACCATAGATGTAGATGGTAAAGGTGAAGGGAGGTGGATGTGATAATCATTGAGTTTCACATTAGTGCAATTACATTTAGAATAAACAGCACAGAGAAACACTCTCAAGATTGCAGATTGCTTAAACTAGATGAACGAGACTTAACTTGAGACTCCTAAGATGAGAGAAGATTCAATACATTGCTGCTCATTTCAAGCTCTTTGAGAAAATGAAAACCTGGAGACTGAGATGATGGTCCAAGAGTCTCCAGAGATCATAGATTTTTGATGGGTTGGAGGGAGGTTGCAGGAGAGGGTGGATAGGGCGCATGCAGAATGGATATTTTGCTGGGGCAAAAGATCTTAGAATTTTCTTGGGATGGTTTGATACCTGTGTTTCTAAAGAAAGTGACGAAACCTCAGGACTAGTTGGAACTTTTCTGAGTAAAAACTGCTTGAGTATTGATTTGGCATTCCTAAGGTTTTTCACCAAGTTATTTTCTCATACATCCCAGAAACATGACCGAGGATAGGCAGAGCCCAGGGTGCAGAGACCCCACTGGTGTGCTGATTAGTGTGCATGCCAGCCCCTGTGTGTCATCTGTGTTCCATATGCTTGTCATTGACAGCCGGAAAAGTAAATCCAAGAGGCTCTTTCAAAAATCGTCCCGGAAATCATCATGGGTAAACTCTAACTGATAGATTCCTAAGCAGCCTCCACAAGAAACAATGCTTGAAATTCAGTGTGTTTCTGCCATTAAGATTCAACACACAAAATACTTAAGGCAATCTCTCATTTGCTCCCTTAGATTTCATCCAATTGCTCACCACCAAGTGTTTGAGTGCATTGATAAAGTTAGCACGCCTTATGAAACACAGTAAAAAGGATAATTCTCTTATCCATGTTTTAAAAAAGAAAGTCATTCCACTTCCTCCTTTTCATTTTGGACGTGTGAAATGAAGTTTATGGTTTAGTGTGTACACAATCAAAAGTTTATAAGTTTGTTACATGTGTACATGATGAAAATGAGTTTATAAGTTTAATGTGTACATGACCAAAATGAAAGGAAACCACCACCCAGCAAAAAGTCTGAAGAAGTTACCTTTGGCCACAATAGAGTAATGAAAGGATTTACTTTTCACTGAGTGTCACATGACAACGAAAAGCAATGAGCTTCAGCTTCTCCCAACAACCATAGTTCCACTATTTTTTTTTCTTTATTAAAAAAAAAGAAAAGAAAAGAAAAGTGTGCTGCAGTGTTTAGTATGGTAATTGCTGGGGCAAAAACCAGTGTGTGGGCCTGCCACTGTGCCGCGATGCTAGCGCTTGGGACCACCTGTGTTCTGGTCACATCTAACACCAGCTTGTGTTTCAGGTGCATCATCCCCCGCTCGGCCAGCCACCCCTTTGGTGCCCTGCAGCAGTACCACTCCTCCTCCACCTCCTCCCCGACCTCCGTCTCGGCCAAAGCTGCCTCCGGGAAAGCCTGGAGTCGGAGATGTGGTATGTTCCCCTCTGCCCTTCCTTGCTCAGAGACAAATGATGGGAGGACCAAACAGGAGCTCAAACTGCCTTCCACGGGCCATCTCGACTTTGGGTGCAAGCCTCGGAGCACTTAGACAGTGACCCTTGCGGTGGCATTTTAAAGGCGGTCACTGCGGTACGGGAGGATGTTTCAGTCCTCCCCAGATCTGTACCATCTTTTAAGCCAAGGCGCACAATCTTAGCCGTAGGATGCCTGGCTGATGCTTAGCTCAGCTCTGCTACAGGGGTTGGATACACATGGGGGTAAAATGTTCAGTTGTGCGAAATCCTTTGGAAATAGAGGTGTTGCCTTTCACAATATTTGTCTGATTTTTGGAAAACTCCAAAAGAGGGCAAGTATTGGTTTCTGATTCCAAAATACAGATCAATTACTTGTGGTAGACACACTACGTTGAGCGTAAGGAGAGAGTGGTGGCCAGGATGAGTTTGTTGCCATTTCTTGCACTGTGTCTTAAAGCTCAGGGTGGAAAATGTTCCTTGTGAACCAGTAAGAAATTTGTGGCAGAGGTAAATTTCTTTAGTGTCTGGACACAGGAGTCACAAAGCAGTGATACCCATAAAACTGGGCTTGGCTGGCACAACACAGGAGCTTGGGTTTCAACACCTGTAGCAGGTGTGAGCACTCTCAGGGTCACCTGCTTACTTCTCTGAGGGCATGGCCCTGCTGACCAGCCACAGAGCCCAGCATCTCTACGCCTGATGTACCTACTGAGTTGAGTGTGTCATGGTTTCTGGTACCGTGGGCTGTACTCTACAAGCTCCTGTTGGGACAGCATCATTTTCCATGTAATAATTACGTCATCTATACTCCTTTAAGAACATGAGTTGTCATATCCTGGGCTGGGCGACATTACAAATATGGGACAAAAGTACTACTACCTGTGTCTCTAACTTTTCATCTCTTTTCTTCTCCCTACAGTCCAGACCTTTTAGCCCTCCCATACATTCTTCCAGCCCTCCTCCGATAGCACCCCTAGCCCGGGCTGAAAGCACTTCTTCAATATCGTCAACCAATTCTTTGAGTGCAGCCACCACTCCCACAGTTGGTAAAAATTATCTCCTCTCTTTTAATCCGTTTGTGATTTTGACTGGCTATTTTTTATGATCTGAAGACCCGCAAAGCCCTATGTTTCTGGGCGAAATTGTGTTGCTGTGTGTTTTGCTTACTATCACCTGACTCTTTTCTTAAAAGCACCTTCTCAGAGAATGGAAGCAAAGAGCCTTCCCTAAGCACACAACCTAAGAAAAGGGCCTGAACACCTGTGTTTTGCAGGAATCTTCTTATGCTACACCATACAGAGCTATTTAAAAAAATAAAAAGATAAAGAAGAAATGGCCAGGGAAGATCCTGTGACTTAGATATTACTTCTTAAAATGCAAATCATCTCCTTTGATGGAGAATGTTGGTTTAAAATCAAGACCATGTTCCACAATAGAAATTACAACATTTAGGACTTTTATTTCCTGGAAGCTCTCATTCCTTTATCGTTGTTGATAGTCCTTAGATTGACAAATGATACACGCATTGGCATGGCAGAGACCTGAGTGAACTTTCTGACTTTTTCTAGTGTTTTTCAGTGATGTGTGGTCAATTTTCCTGGAGAAATGAGCCATTGCTGGCATTTATAGTGAATGTCTTTGTGCCTCTTCCCTTGTGCTGTGATGAAAGGGAAGAATTGAGAAGGGCTGCTCAGCTGGGTGGTTTTCCCAGGTTTAAATGCCTCATTTTACCAGGAGCAGCTTCTCTCTTCCCAAGGCTGGACTTTCTGTTTTCCCACCCCGCATCAGTTCCTGCTGCCTCTTCCATTTTTGCATGGTGTCTCTGACCAGGGGCTTTCCCATTCCACTTTTCCCATGAGAACCCCCGTTGCCCATTGTCTTCTGTGGCAGTCTGGACTCCCCTGCAATTCTTCCATGTTATAAATCAGCTAACCCATCTTGCATTGCTTGGGAGAATCAGTAATCAAAGCTAACTCAATTCCTGCTGTGCCTATGGAACACACCGCAGTGCTGCCCATGGGAGAAAGTAGCTGCGTCACAGCCAGAAGCTCCTGAGGAGGAGAACTGCCTCTTGTCCCAGAGAAATAGGTGAAGATGGGCCTTCTGAGGCCCCCAGAGGGAATGTCCTCGAGTTCACATGTTCTATATTCTTAATCAGATCATCCCAAAAGAACCCTTCAAGTGTGGGGAAAATATAACCTGCTATCCAATCCCATGCAATTTTTTTTAAAGATTTCATTTATTTATTTGAAAAGCAGAGTTACAAAGAGGCAGAGGCAGAGAGAGAGACAGAGGTCTTCCATCCACTGGTTCACTCCCCAAATGACCACAATGGTCAGAGCTTGGCTGATATGAAGCCAGGAGCCAGGAGCTTTTTCCAGGTCTCCCTTGCGGGTGCAGGAGCCCAAGCACTTGGGCCATCTTCCACTGCTTTCCCAGGCCATAGCAGAGAGCTGGATCAGAAGTGGAACAGCCAGGACTCAAACTGGTGCCCATATGGGATGCTGGCACTGCAAGCAGCAGCTTTACCGGCTACGCCACAGCACTGCAATTTATTAATAGACAGATATCTAATGGTATCTATGTAGCCAACTCTATTTCCTCTCCACATCATCAACTGGGGACAATTTCAGGCTTCCTATCACTCGATACTCAGTAGCTAATTTCTCTGTTTTTGTTTGATTCTGTAACATCCCAATTTTATTTTTTAATCTATGTCTAATACTCCTTATTGCTACAGCCATTCCCCCAGTCCCGCTCTGTTGTTTCATTTTCTCAAGAGTGTCGTTCCACCCTCTCCATGTGTTTGCTTTGTTGGTTGGAGAAGAGAGTGAGAATGAACTGTCACTCAGAAAGCAGACCCCAAGTGACCTCAGCTGAACCGCCTAACATGTTCTTTCAATTGGCTGTGATTCATAGAGAAAATCACACACGCAGGGAAGTTGAACTGTGTCCATGTTTTGTACAATGTGCTTCTATGTTGCCTGCTGTAGAAATCGCCAATTCTGGCCAGCAACTTTGATTCTTAACACATCTAGTATGTGTTCTTTCAGGACGAACCACAGGGGGCTTAATAATAACCGAAAACAGCCACGTAAGAGCAGCCTCACATTGCTTCGTCACTGTGTCGTTCTATTATTTTTCTGTGGTTTTCATCTGCCCAGTGAATTCCTCACCCTCCTGTTCTTTATTTGCTCCTGCTGCGAGTCACCTGATGGCCACTTGCCTCTGAAGTAAATGCATTGTCCAGTGACTTTCCAGCAGCTTCTGTGTCTTGCTGTTTCTCTCTTCCTAGAGAGGATGCACTTTGTCCCACACCAAGGGGCCTAATTATGACTGACATTGGAAGGTCAAGTTAATGCACTCAAATAAATGCCTTGAGGCAGGGAGAGAATTTCAGCAGCAAATTCCCAAAAGCTGATGGCTCAACATTTCCCTCCCACTGCCACAATGCTTTCCTGACTTCTGCTGAGACACTTAAGCCAAAATTGAGGCTAGTGGGAAGCCATCAGACAAGTTTAACTCAAGAGCTGAATTTTTAGGAGCAAGTCTAAAATCTCTGCATGACAATCACGTATAAGAAGAAAATGCCCCTTATAGAACCAAGGGGTGAAATAGGTCATGAGAGCTGCAATTATAAAGTAGTACATCCAATGCCACACCCAGAAACAGCACTTTCTGTGCATTGACACAATCAACTATTACAGAGCGCCCACACAACTGTATTTTGTTGAAGTTGGCATTCTCAATTTTAAAATCACCATTTTATAAGTGATTGAAAGAAAGTAGCCGAATGAGCTAAGACACAATATTCTCTTATTACATTCATGATATGACCCATTCCAATTTCAGATTGTTAGATTGCAGAAAAGCACATATCTTAGAATGAGCAAAATACAGAAAAGTCTTCTTGCATTGGAAAAAGCTCACAGGATCTGTTTTATATGATTTTGAAAAAAATCCTATTAAGGAGATAGGGAAAATATTCTATTATAAGAAGCAAATTTTTAGACTGAAAGCAAGAATACAACAGTGAGAGTGGAATGTTTTCTCTGAGTGCAAATATCCATTTTTATTAATTGTTTCTTATTTCTGTAGCTGATAGTCGTTTTCAGATGTTTATAAAATCTTCCTTAAGAGCCCATGGCAAAAATGACCACCAAAAAATGATTTTTCTTCATTATTGATTTCACTGTTAACTAAACTTCTTCACTGATAATTATTAATTTTAAATTATACCCTTAATGTCTTATGACTGTATCATGAATGAAAAGACATCATTGGGTACCAAAGGAAGCATCACATAGATTTTGATGATTCCTTCAGTCCAGAATTTTCAGGCAACGTGATTTATATTCTGTAATGTAACCATAGCATCCAAAATATAAACTATTGCCTTCAAACCTTTGTCTCTGCAAGCTGGTTAGTGATTTTAAACTGAATAAGCTTTAAAAAAAAAAAAAAAACAGAAAACCAAAAAATGTAATTTTTGCCCATTAGTCTGCAAATAAAGAAGGGTGACTTTTGGGAATAGATATCCCAGATCCCAAGAAAAAACTCCCATTCAGTTTTAGTCATTTTATTCTCCTTATTCTACTTTGTTGGAAGCATCTGTCTTCAGTACTGTTGCTCGTATTATCGGCGTTGCATTAAGTTCTGTCTATTTGAGGAAGCCACATGTATAATAGGAACTGAGATAAATAGGTGATATCTTAGAAGCTTAAGAATTGACCTCACAGTAGGTTCCCTGCATTACTCTTTAGGTCTAGGTGGCAAGCTGATAGAATATTTTTCAAGGGGTATTATCCTTTGTGGAATATTTGTTCTACCCTTGTCCATTTCCTTCTCTACATTGTAGGTAGAGTTCTCCATTACCGGACTTTATACGGATCCTATTCAATTTTCTTGCATAGCTGTAATATTACTCTTAAGATCTGTGGTATCGAGTAATTTTTTTGAATCACAGAGGAAAAAAACCCCAATTGTCTGCACATGTTAGCTGGCGAGAAGCGACTGGAAAGAGCTGAAACAATTGAGGTCCAGCTCATCAGTGCACAAGACTGTGACCAATTTACAAAGACATTTAACCGCAGCTGGATACCATAGCCAAAAACAGAATTATGATAATGCTGTTGAAATTTAAAAATCCTTAACTATCAAAGGCAGGTGCAAAGCGAATTGCACTTGGGTGTTGACGAGGCTGAAATAAGATAGTTCGTGCAGGGTCCTTGGATTTATACTGCTGCTTTTCTGTGGTCCTCTGTAAAGGTTCTTCTTGCCCCCTGGGTGCTCCTGTGGAGCTGTCAGGACCCCATCAGGAGGTTCTTGTTGATAGACGTATGTCTGGCCACTTGAGAATTGCCTTGGGGTGAAATACACTGGGTAGTTCAATTATTAATGACAGTGTCTTTAACAACACTAGCATGGCTTCTTCCCTGGGGCTGACTTCAGCCCAGTTTCCAGATGCTGAACCTTGGCATTTGCAAAATGTAATTTCTTATCAGAGAATCATCATAAAAGAAGCACATCACTATTTTTATACCTTAAGAATAATCCCAGTGTCCTAAATTTTTGTTACCTTTTTTCCATTAAAATCATTCCTGTGTTTCAATCAGTAAAGTGTGTTGCTCAATTTCATTTGGGATTTGTATTTGTGTTTTTGTTTTCCATTCGTTTATGTTTCTTTGGCTCGTAGTGTCAGAAGATGATGTTTTTTCTGACAAACTGCCCTCGTTTGAAAGGCGCTGTGAGACGCCTGCAGGTACTGTGCTGGCTGAGTGACCTCTAGATCTCTAGACTTTAAAAATCCAAGCCATTCTCCATCTGAATGCTACTGTAAACTCATGGACATGCTCCTCACCTCATGAGTGTCCAGTGCCACTCTGATGCACCCTGTGTACTTACTGTTCATCGTGGGATTCATGCCACTGAAATTGTGCTAAGTGAACGTATTAAAAAGCAGCAGGTTGCATGACAGTTTCTCAGTAAAAAGGTCTGGAAAAAGGCGAGATGCTATTGCTTTGTGTCGTTACAAAGGGAGGAATAATTTAACTGCTCAGAATGACATGTCCAGTGACTGCTTTTTAATTTTAAAAAAATAGAGCATAATATCTTGTTCTTTGGTACATAGGTAGAGGGTGTTTTGTGTCTGGATGCTCAAGGTGATTCCAGGGGAGGGGATGGAAGATGTGACATCTTCCATGAACCTTAAATTGATGTGCAATGCTGTTGTCATTTAAAACCTAAGCTAATGTTTTGTGTAACCCATAACTCCGAATTTATCTTTTTGGAAGCATAGAAGGGGGTGACAATGAAGATGAAATGGATACAGCCATTGCTGAATGACAGTTTGCCCAAATTAGTGCAGTTAAAATATGCTGACGCCCCTGCATGGCCAGGAAGACTTCCGCTCCATGCACACAAGCACCAAGTATCAAGCCACCAAAAACCGTGCCATCCCTGTAGGCCTCCATAGCTTTGCTTTTGCTTTCTGTTTCCTCAACTAAAAAAAAAAAAAATAGATTGCCAGCATCCCCTTTTCCCTCCCGCACGCTAATGGCATGCAGTGCCGCCACCCTTCCCCTTAGTGAGATTAATGACCTGCTCTGTAACTCATATTTGTCCTTCTCTCTCCCTCTCCTTAACCTTTCCCATCCCGCTTCAACTCCTGGCCATACAGAGAATGAACAGCCTTCCCTCGTTTGGTTTGACAGAGGAAAGTTTTATTTGACTTTTGAAGGTAAGTAGTACATAGCATACCAGATTCTAATTTATACTCCCTTCCTCCTTCTTTCTCCATCTGCATTTCAAATTCCCAGTTTGCCTCAAAAGTTCTGGCCTTACTTTCTATATAAAAATGCTATGGCTACTTAGAAAATACCAAACACTAAAGAAAAGATCATTTGAATTGGGTGTGGATGTGATCTTCAATTTTTCATACTGAAAAAATAAAGCTGATTTGCAGTTAATATTGCTTACTTAATTAATTATGGTCAATTGAAAAACAAAAAGCAAAACACACCTTTCTTGACCAAGGAACTTAACTCTGTCAACCAGGGCTCTTTCCTAACTCTTGCAAATGCAATGCAACAAATACAAGGACATTTTTGGTTAGTACGGGCACTTAACTTTGTTTTTAATGATTAATGTTGCAGATACAACATCCGTTATTGTGAACTGTGAATGTGTATATATTTGTATGTGTAATCTTAAGACAAGGAAAGCTGCGTAAGAAATCTGAAAAGTGGGGAAAAGAAAAAGGAGTATTTTAGTAAGTTCTATCTGCATTTCCCTAAACTGCAATTGAAATGGCTGCCGTAAAACAGACAACTTTCACTGGACTTGCCATTTTAGAAGATTAAGGAAAATATACAACATGCAATGTCAAATATCTAATTGCAATGTCTGATAATTTGTCATGTTTTGCATTAAGGGTTAGCATTCTTCTGCTTTATATTTAAATCTTCTTGAGATGTGATACAATGACCCATATACACTAATGTTGGGGGAAAAAATTAGGAAATTTAACATAATTAATTGGCCACCTTACACTTGCAATTTATCATAATCCCTGACCTTCTAGGATTTAAAATAGCCATGTTATCCTGAGGTCAAAATTAGTAAAAGAAATATTCTACCCTGGAAATGAATCTCAATATTGAACTTGTCCTTGTGCTTCATGACAACAAAGAGAATTTTTCTAACTTGGGTATGTGTTTTAATGCAAATTTTTTAACAAGATGTATTTATTTGAAAGGCAGAGTTACAGATAGAGAGAGAAAGAGACAGAGAGATATTCCATCTGCTGGTTCTTTCCCCAAATGGCCCCAATGGCCAGAGCTGGGCTGATCCAAAGCCAGGAACCAGGAGCTTCTTTTAGGTCACCCATGTGTGAGCATGGGCCCAAGTACTTGGACTATATCTTCTACTGCTTTCCAGGGCACATTAGCAGGGGGCTGGATCAGAAGTGGAGCAGCCGGGACTCGAACCAGTGACCATATGGGATGCCAGCACTGCAGATGGCAGCTTTACCTGCTACACCACAGCTCAATGCAAATTTAAAAATCAGAAATCCTGATACATAAAATAGTTTGTGTGGTTGTGACTTTTTTCTCTCAACAGAGAATTTTAGTTGCAAGATGGTCTAGAGATAGAAATTCTTAGTTCAGAGTAGCTTGGATAGCAGCAGGAAAGATAAGATTTCAAACTTTCCCAATATCCTGATGTCTTGTCCTAGCTAGGGTAGAGGATAGCCCATGTTCTGGGAAGGATTTTATACATTTATTCCCATGTAATGTCAAAGCCTTCATTGCCTCAGATCATCAGTTTTGCAATAACCAAGGTGCAAAGCCCAGGTAACTTTGATCACTAAGCTTTGTCTTTAAATAACGAGATGAAATTAAAAAGTAGACAGGTGTGTTAATACCGATGGCCACATCTCAGGAGAAGCAGCTGCAACTGAGCAGGTGGATAATCCTGGAATACAGACAATACTGCTATCCACAAGGCTCCTGCTCGGGTTTAGTCTGGCCAGAGCAAAAGTGTCCTTTATCCTGTTTGGACCCTTAACTAATTGTCTGAGGCTCCCAAAAGATCCACGCTGCCAATTTTTATCTTGCTGCTGTTTGTTTTGGTTCTAGAGGAAGTATTGACTCTCTTGCTTCTGTTTTCATGTAGGTTTCTTTGTATGGTGAGAGGTAGACCTTTTGACTAAACACCAATCTAAAGACAGTTTTGGTTGTTGTTTTGTTTGTTTTAAAAATATATACTATCAGTGAAATGTAAGCACTTAATCAATGTGTGGAATAACATATTTATGAAAATATATGTAATATTTTAAATATATTTCTGGGTCTCCAAAGTTGGTAACAGTACCACACTAATTAGTGAGATCCAAATCCCTTAAGCATCTCAGTTTGTACCAGGAGTTTGCATAAAAAGTAATTCGGCTCTCTAATATTGTGTTATCTTCATCTTGAACTTCGCTCAATCAACTTTGGGAAGTATACAGGAGGCTTCCTGAGAGGTTGTGTGAACAGCTGTATTATGAATGGGTGTGTACAGGTGAAATGTACTTCAAGGGAAGCCCCTGGGAGAAACCAAAAGCAACACCTTACCATGTAATCAAGAATGGCTATGTGTGAAGTATGGGGAGGTTGGCTTTCCTCTTTTAGGTACATTTGTATCAGTATTATCATTTATAAATTTAAGATTCATTTACTTCAAAGGCAGAGTTATATACAGAGTGGGGACTATACACACACACACACACACACACACACAATCTCCCATCCACTGGTTTACTTCCCAAATGGCCTCAGTGGCCAGGATTGGGCCAGGCTGAAGTCAACAACTCCATCCAGGCCTCCCAGTGGGTAGCAGGGCCCATGCACTTGGTCCATCTTCTGTGGAAGTGTTTCTGAATATCCTGTCCCTGTAACACTCATCTCTGGACGGCTCTGTGTCCTGTTCACAGCTCTTCCCATCATTGCTTATCCTTTACAACAGCTTTCTTACAGTTTCAGTCTCTCTGCTGAACTCAGCCACTTGTTTCCTTTACGGAATCCCAGCTTTCCCCAGGGACCATCACTTCCCAGTAGCACGTTCCACAGAATGTTCTTCAGTCTTCCATGGGCCGTGCACCCTGTAACTGAGAAGCAGAGTTCAGGTTCTGCAGCTTGCTATCCACTTCCAAAACCTCCCTGACTGTAGAGTGAAGCCATTGACAAATCCACCCTCTGCTACTCCTTACTGCTGTTAACAACAACCTCAGAGCACTGGTCTGCATTTCCCTACAGTCCCGGAGACGCTGCAGTGTCTTTGTCATCCTTTGCTCTGCTTCACTTCCTGGCATGCCCTGTGACACAGATTCTGTGTGCATGATCTATCCACACACTGGTTTCAGGGCCTCTTGCATTCAGTTTCAACATTCTCTCCATCCATTGCAGTAACTCCCACATCCAGCCACACTCTGGAAATGGTTCTCGCTGGCAAGTGTTATTTTGGCCATTCCATAACTAATAATTTGTCACCCTTCTTGTATCCTAGCTACTATGTTAAGCAATGGTTCATTCAACAAGTGCATTTAATTTTATTTTGCTTGTTTATTTATTTATTTATATGAGAGACAGAGAGAGGCATGAAGAACAGAGCTCTTATTCACTGGGCCCACTCCCCAAATGTCCACAGCATCCACAACAGGGACAGGGCCAAAATCAGAAGCAAGGAACTCAGTCCAGATCTCCCACATGGATAACAGGAGCTCAGTCATTTGAGCCATCACTACTGCCGCCCAGTATCTTTTTTATTAGCAGGATGCTGGAGTCAGGAGCCAGAGAGGGACTCCAGTGTGGGATGCAGGTATCTTAGCTGCTAGGTCAAATACCCACCCCTCAGTGATTATTTATTTATTGAGTGCCTATCATATGATAGCACTGTTTTTACCACTCCTTAGTAATAAACAAAACGGAAAAAATTCTCTGTCATCACAGAGCTTACATTCTAATGTGGAGGGTTAAAAGTAAGATAGAAACTGGCACTGTGGCATCACAAGTAAAGCCACCAAGTGGGAAGCCAGCATCCCATATGGGCAGTGGTTGGAGTCCTAGCCGCTCCACTTCTGATCCAGCTCCCTGATAATGTGCCTGGGAAAGCAGCAGAAAATGGCCCAAATGCTCAGGCCCCTACACCCATGTGGGAGACCCAGAAGAAGCTCCTGGTTCCTCGCTTCGGTCTGGCCCAGCCCTGGCTGTTGTAACCATTTGAGGAGTGAACCAGTAAATGGAAGATCTCTCTCTCTCCCTCTCTCTCTCTCTTTCTCTCTCAATTCTTCCTTTCAAATAAATAAAAATAAATTTTAATTTAAAAAATATGATAAGTAAAATATATAGCATGGAGGTAATAAGGTTTACAGGAAAATTTAAAAGAAGGAGAATAGAGCATATTTGGGGTTGCAACTTTAAATAGGGGGCCATAAGGAAATTAAAGTGATGGATAATAATAGCTAACATGGAGCACTCACTATGTGCAAGGTACATTCCATCTATTGACTCATCTCATCTGCCCAGCCCACGAAGGAAGAAATTAGATTCGGGTCCTGTAAAGCCCTTTCACAGGGTCACACAGCCAGGAGGAAGCAGAGTGCAGACTTAGGCTCAGATCACCTGGAGACCACTCTGCGCCCCACCTCAACCTGCTGTACACACATGGTCTCACCCCAGTGTTGCAACAGCAAGGGTTGTCCCTGGTCCCCTAACCTTCCAGCTTTCCAGTTCTCTGGCACCAACACTTCATTTAAAAAATTAAAAAAAAAAAAGACTTACTATCTACCTGAAAGGCAGAGTTACAGAGAGGCAGAGGCAGAAAGAGAAAGTCTTCCATCTGCTGGTTCACTCTCCAAATGATCAAGATGGCTGGAGCTGGGTCAATACGAAGCCAGGAGCCAGGAGCTTCTTCCCGGCCTCCCTTGCAGGTGCAGGGGCCCAAGGACTTGGGCCATCTTCTACTGCTTTCCCAGGCCATAGCAGAGAGCTGGATCGGAAGTGGAGCAGCTGGGATTTGAAGAGGCACCCATATGGGACGCCAGCACTGCAGGTGGTGGCTCTGCCTGCTCTGTAGGAGCACCGGCTCCAACACCTCATTGTGTACTCACTGACACCTCCGCTCTCCTTGTCCACCCCATTCTCATGCAGCACACAAGCCCAGGCCTACATTCAAGTGATTTTCTCTGTCTAGCTTAGA